AAAAAAAAAAAAAAAAAAAAAAAGACAGAAAGAAAAAAAAACATAACCAGGCATGAAAATGCTGGGAAATGGAAGGGCTTAGCTGACAAACGAGCATTTTGAAACAGCTTGTGATTGGCTTATGGTGACACTAAGGATATGTCACCTTAGGGTGGGAAGTTAAGAATAGGTTTATTAAAAAGCATGCGAGTTAAAATGAAGCAATTATTAACTCAAGAGAAAATATAAACATGATACATCTGTCTCTAATGAACAATATTTACAAAGTTATGCCAATATATAACATGGTTTTCTATAACTGAAATCATGATATAATTGTATTGGCTAGGAAGAGAAGGGAGAGTGGGCATGTGTAATTGGGCTATATCCACCGCATATCATTTAGAAATATGAAAACAAATTCAGCAGCATAACCAAGAGCAACCACACAGGTGAAAGTGTTCAAAGTGATTGCTCTGCAGAGTGGAAATAGGGAGAGCAAGGGGCAGGGTGCAGATGCTTTTATAAATATGTTTTAAAAATATGTTCATGTATTCATAAAATGAGAAGGAACACCCTAAAATAAAGACTATCATGTTTTATTTCTTTGTTTTGAATATTTCAAAGGTGACTTGCAAACTTATTCTGCTTTCACTTTTAGAAAGAGTATTTCATCATTAATTAAAAAAAAGATAATCAACAACAAAACTCAATCAGATATCTTTAACCTTGGGTGTTGAGCTCTAGCACTGCTGCCTCACAGAGCTGTGTGAGCTTGGGCAGGTCATCTTGTCTCACTTGTCTGAACAGTTAGTATCCTTATCTGTAAGAGTTACTGTGAGGATTAAATACGATTATGTCTGTAAAGCACTTGGAAGTTGCCTGGCATGTGCTTACTTCAGCCACTCCACTCTTCATCCATCCCTTCCAGTTTTCTGAAACTTACATCACACACACAGAAACAGCTTTTAAGTCCGTGTCCATAAGTACAAAAATCTCTTATGTGACTTTGTAGTATCATTAGCCATATTTTCATTGAGTTTATATTTACAGCATCTGTTTTATTATGTGTTTTATTGCAGTCTCCCTCAATGCCTTCTAGTCCTATGGCCCTAGCTTCTTCGTCTCTTTTGATAGTTTCTCCTTCTGGAAGCACTTTCCTAGGGACTCTTATCGTTCTACAACTTCACGCCAGATGGCCATATCTATTTTCATGGTGTTAACAGCCACACACTGACAACTTCCAAGTTTGTATTTCCAGCACAGACCGCTCATCTGACTTCGAGACGTATATATCCAACTACCTATCTGATATCTCCTTTGGGATGAATTCAGATGTATCTCAAACTCAACCTCTCTAAAACCAAACTTCTAATCTACTTCCCCTAAGTGTTCTCTCCCACTGCTTCCTAATTTCATGAACAGTACTTTAACCATCCAGTTAACACATCCAGAAACCTAGCAGTTCCTTGACACATCACACTTTGGAAATTATATCCTGCCCAAACCCAAAATCCAGTCCGTCAACATAGACTATTGATTTTACACCCTAAATCTCTCTCAAATCCCTCTCCTCTCGTTCTCCACCACCACTACCAATCCCACTCTAATCCAGGCCACTCCACACCTATACCATACCAACTTTCCAACTAACTTACACATATCCCCTCTTGCACCATAGAATCCATTTTCCACAGAACATCCCAAATTGTTGGCCTTTTGTCACTGTCCCTTCCTCTGGCATCAGGAGCTTTCAAAGCATATTTTGTTGAATAAATGAGTATTTATTTATCTGGGACCTACTTAAGTACTTATGAATCATATGCATATATTAAATACAATATATACAAGTATATAAACTGTGAAGCAGGACTTACAATGTTTGGTAATGTTAACGTTAATACTTTAGAAGTAAATTCCACTAAGTGTGAAAAGCTCTTCCACCTTTTGAGGGAAAACAAATTAGATTCAAATGTATGGGAAAACAGAGAGAAAGATAAATTTCAATAGGAGAGGGTCAGCCTTTGACCCTTGCTTTGCTATTTGTAACAGTGTTTCTGGGGTGTTTTTTGGCGGGGAGATGTGGTTTTGGTGGGTTTTTTGGCTTAGGTTTCTACCTTTATCCCTTTGGGTTTCTGAAGTAGCTATTTAAGGCATTTGATGTTAAGGCAAAAATAATTGATTTTCTGTGGTAAAAGAGGGAACACGTTCATTAGTTTAACTCTGGAGAGGATTAGAGTTCAACCACACATGATGAGCTGGCAAATGATCAAGACACATAGCATAACGAACAATGGGAAAGTCTAAGAAAAGAGAAAGAGGAGCCATAAATGGCAGGGGTCGGGGTCTAGGCACCCGACCATGTGAGAGGAGGGGAGGAAGAATCTGAGTCTAGTTGGATCACAGGAGACTGCAACATACTATGTGGTTGAAGGGCAGAGCCTGGAGGACCCACTTGAAAGCAGAGTTTATGGGAACTGTGAAACAATTATTCCATTATGCTCCACTCCGAGCAAACCTAGAATATTCCACTTTTCAAGAGAAGCAGGATGTGGGAAATGTGTGTGGGAGTTGGAAGGAAGTCCACAAACATGAATAAATGCTGAGAACATTAAATCTGTATGGATTATTTCCACATGAAAATGGTGAAGTTTACAAAAAGGAAGGTGAGCTCTTTTGGAGCTAAACCCTCCTGTTTTTAGAAGGAACCTCTCCTAAAATCACTTGTAGTAAATCCTTAAAGAAACATTCCTTCAAAGTCCTAGTCTGCTAGACTATATGAGTTTTGCTGAGGGACCTCACTGGAGGGAGTGAATGCCAGAGCTCTATGCTATGGAAGAGCTGCTGGGATAAGGCTCTTGTTCAACATGGCATCTATCTGTGTACAGGGGGTTTGGCTGTAATGAATGGATAGAGCGTGGGATGATTATTGCTCATTTTGCTGGTACCGTTCAAATGACATGGCTGAGAGATTAGTGTTTTGGTTATTCTGTGGATCCAGAGGATCTGAGAAAATATGTGAGTCAAGAAAAAAACAATGTTGGCCCAAATCTGACTTTTAATAATGTTGCTTTTTTTATGTCAATATATTATACTGACTAGGATTTGGTAGAAGATGGAAAAGCTTTGACTTCCTTAGTCTGGCTACACAGGGACCTTCTAGGCAGAGACATGGAATAAACTTGAAAAAGATGAGAGAGGGAAAAATCTGAAATGAGAGGTTGGTCATTCCATAAAATGAGGCTCCTCATTTTCCTTTACTTTTAATATCTATCTTGAGAATATTTTTCAGTTTTTATACTATGACAGAATAGAATGACTCCCTCCCCCACCACCCCCTACTCCAGATGATACAATGATTTCTATGTCTTTTCTGGTTGTATTAAATTTCTGACAGCACAATCCAACCAATCCACCATCTGCAGGACACTGTATTGTGTGACTGATGTTATATTAGGACATTGAGAAACGTGTGCTATAGTGTGCTATAGTGGAAGGCCATGCTGTGATGCAGGGTATGTGGGGAAGGGGGCCAAAAGGCGAGAGACAGTGACCCATCCCTGGGACCCAGATGCCATTCTATGCCTTTTGGAACCCTTCTTTTTTTAGCAAAAGTATTTTAATTAGCAAAAGAACTATCATAACAGTTTTGCTTACTAAACATGAAGTTTCAGCCCTTGTGTAGTGTATAGTTATGAAATCAGACATTGGCCAATTTCTCAGAGGTTGGTGGAGATCTAACTTCATAAGGGCTCTCAACAGTGCCCTTGAGTTTGTTTGCTTCTAAAGACATTTTGCATTTTATCTTTCATGACACTTTGCAGAGGAATCCATAGTTTGTATTAACCAGGGTTCTCTTGGTCACAATTCAAATGAACTTAAAACAAAAAATTATTATCTCACTTAAGCAGAAAGTCCAGGAGTGATGCCTTCAGGGCCAACTATATCGAGAGTTTCAAATCTTTAACAGTCTGTCTTCCCCTCCATGTCATGTTTCTGTTTGTCTCTTCTCTCTGCATGATGGTCTCTTTACTTTTTGTTACAGTTTCCTCCATGTGGCCAGAGAAGATGGCCACTTGAAACCACAACTTCACACCATCCTGGTTTGACAACCAGTAGAAAGAAAGCAGCATTCTTCTCTACAGCTGTATATGAATCCCAGGCAGGGCTCTCCTTGGCCCTGCTTGCAAAATATGCTTCTCTTTCTATTCAGTGTGTCCAGGGGAATAGAGTACTGGGACTGACCATTACTAAAGCATAACTGATATCTCATTAGAAACATATAGAATGGAGGAAGTATTTTCCAAGGAATCAGAGGATGGGAGGAGGTTAAGTCTGCTAAACAGTAGAAATTACAGATGCTGCAGTTTGAGGCATAGGTTGTCTCTCATTAGAACTCTTCTGAGGCTAAATATCTAGGTAGCTTATAAGCTCTCTGACATTCTACCATGATTTAATTTGTATGATGGCTAATTTTAAATGTCAACTTGACTGGGCCATGGGGTGCACAGATATTTTCTTAAACACGTTCACTGAGTGAAGCAGATTGCCCTCCCCAGTGTTGGTGGGCCTCATCCAATCTGTTGAAGGCCTGAATAGAACAAAAAACAGAGTAAGGGAAAATTCATTCTCTCTGCTTGACTGTCTTTGAGCTGGAACATCCACTTCTTCTGCCTTCAGTGCTCCTGAGTTCATTGGAGCTCCTAGGTCTCCAGATTGCCAAATGCAGATCCTGGGACTTCTTAGACTCCATAATCCCATGAGCACCCCTCCACCCTGTATAAATATGTGTTATATATATGTTAACTATATATATATTATATATATACAATTAGGGATATTTGGGTGGCAGAGGGGAGAAGGGGTATCTGGACTACAAAATCAAGTTTTATGTCTTATGGCTTAGCTTCATTTTGGGGGATATTTTTTCCTATCTTCAGATTCCAGAAGGTTCACTGCTGTCTTTGGTGGGGTGACTATTAAAAACTAAGTGAGAGATTTTTGTTCTGAGTTTATGCTTCAAAATGCAATTTTAGATATTATACCAGGCAAAAGAATAAACTCTACCAAATAGCATAAAGTGTTGAAAAATTTTCATACCTCCTATATGATGTGATATGATTAAAATTCACATTGCTTTTCCTACAAACTCAAGAGAAACACAGAGGAGAAATCCAATGCATTAATATTCCATGAATACTGGGGATAGGTAAATCTAGCAATTTCCTTTCAACTATGTGCTAGGATTAGAATAATATCATATAGAAAAGACAATTATGCTTTAAACTTATAACCCATGAAAATGAGTAAATTATAAACTTGGCAAATACATTTTCCAATTTTTAAAAGATGTTTAAAAGTGAATTCAGAAGGGCATCAGTGGAAAAATAGAGGAAACAACTCTTACCTTGTGACAAAATAGGAGATAATTTTAAAATGTTGCAGCGCCATATTACCAATACCTCTTTCATGACTTTTATTAACATGCCCCTCTTGAATGTGTCTGTATAAAGTTTCTTGTAAGTTTGATCTGAAGATCAGATTTGGTGTCACTTCTAGAATTACACAGGAATGGGTAGAGTTGGCTGATTTGATTTTTCCAGACAGGCTGACTTGTTTTTTTGGGTTTTTTTGTTCTCCCTAATAAGAAAAGAAAAATAAAACATACTTTTTGGTTACAAAAGTTAACCATATACCAGAAACATAGGGTGTTATATTTCCTGTTGCAATTTTTAGAACATGGATATGCAATTTAATATTTAAGATTCTTAGTTCATCAGGCTAATTGCAATTTATATCCATGTACATTGTACTGCAGTTCTAATTAATTGATAGAATACTAGGTAGAACAGTTCTTACCATACTAATTTTGGTCATCAACTGAAATTAAAGATAAAAACAAGCAAACATTGAACTTCCTGAGCAATTACGGAAATGTTATCTGAGTAATAAATCTCAGGTCAAGTGATTAAGCCAATCCAATCCATAAATAGGGGGATTATCTAAATAATTCAAACTGACCTGCCTTTAATTATATAAATGGAATATAGGGACTGATTTTCTCAAATCAGAGTTGCACTCTAATCTTTACTGCCTAAAGTCATACAATTGAATTTGCTTCCCCTTGTACTCTATAGACCTGACTAATGAAGTAGGACTCTGGAGGGCACCTGTTTTCATGCAGTGTTTCAGACTCCATAACAATGGTCTTGTCAGTGTAACAAGCTGAAAGAAAAGCATCTTTAAATGCATGCCAGTCCCCTGGATTGCTAAATTGACTGAATTTGATATACTGAAAAATGTCCTCCCTTTTTCCATGTGGGGAAAAGACGGCAGATGACAAACAAAAAGGGCAGGGAACATAAAAAGGGAAGGTTCCTCTCGAACTATCTGGGATGAAAGCTTCCTTGACTGAAGGATTCTGTGGCTAGAAAAGTGAGAGTGAGGCATCCCACATGCCAAGACCCACGTGCACACCCACAAGGAGTTGTTGGTCTTCACTCAGGTGGTACAGGTCTTGAGCAAATTGCATGAACTCTATTAGGCCAGGAACTCTAGGCTTCTCAAATTATAGTACATCCCTCTTCCCACTCTCACCCCTCAGCAAATTTTATATACATCTAAGATTAAATGATATCCTTAGATCAACAAGATACAATCAGCTAATTTTTTTTTTAACATATAAGAGCTTCGGTTTTTGCTTTGGTTTGTTTAGTTTGGTCATCAATTTTATAAGAACTTCAAGAGAACAGTTAAATAGATAAGTAATATAAAACATAATGTATTGAATGAATTTTTAAAGTTAAACCTGAGATGATGAAGATAGTTTGTATCCGTAGGTGCGTCATCTCTGGCAAACCTTTATACCCTCTGAAGTGCACATTAACTCTCTGGCCATAAGGAATGTATTGATGGATAAACTGACAAGCACTGGAATAAACTGAAAGATCCTTCTATTTCTAATCTCAAAGAGAATTATAGGGTTTTGTCTCTAAATCTCACAGCAGAGTGGTACATTTTACATTTGAAAGAGCCACTGGAAGCCTATACTTCCATGCTCTTATTTTAAAAAAAGGCCTGATAATGCCTATCTATCTGGCCAATTTCGGGTGCTCCTGTTTGCCTTCTCTCACGTCTACACTAAGATATGAGAAAAACTAAATAGCTTTGAACAATAACTTGGTATTATTCTTTAGTCGTTTTGTTTTAAAATAATTTCAGATTTACCGAGGAGTTGCAAAAATAGAATGGAGTCCCCATACACTCTGTCATCCAGTTTTCCCTAATGTCAACATTTTATGTAATTATGATACATTTATCAAAACTAAGAATCTAACATTGGTACAATACTATTAAATTATAGACTTCATTCAGATTTCCCTAGTTATTTCACCAATGGCCTTTTTCTATTCCAGGATCCAATTACATTTAGAGGCTATGAATTTTTGCTTTCCCTTTTTTTTAAATAACACAATGGACACAACATTACTATTAAAATTTTTGATCTTTCACGATTATCAAAGGCTATTAATAGCTTCCTATTCTTTTAAAAAATAGTGTTAAATTCTTGCATTAAATAGGCTGAACTGCTTGAAGTAAATAAGAAATTTATTGAGAGAAATTTTAAAACTTGAGTATCGCACGGTGGGTTTAAAAACAAACTATAGCCATTTCAAGACAGTATACAATCTCTTTCCATCTAGCAAAATCCTTTTCACCTAAGAAATGATTTTCTAATCAGCTAGATCTGATTCACTGCAGAAAAGCTCTGAATTTTTGTTAGGAATTTTTCAGCCCACTTACAGCTCACGCTAGCCCTCTCTTATGAAACAAATAGATTTTGAGGTGCTTGGAGGCAAGGACCTGTTCTTATCCAGTTTTGTATCCTTAACATTGCCTTAAACTTGATAAATATTTGTAGAATTAATGAACATATGAAATTTCCTAGGATCTTCAGGCTGGAGAGAATTTGAAAACTTGACACTTTCAGGTTAATTAGACTCCAGAGCCTTCACCTCTGACTGCCTTTGGGATGTTTTGGTGTAGATAGTGTCAAAGAGGTTGATAGGTGATGTATTATAGACAGCTTCATGGAAATGTCATGAACCCTTGTAGAATACTTACTGCCAGAAAACTTGCCAAGTTTAAAATGCCTGTTTCTTTTTTCTGAAAGAACAAGAGCCCTTATCTTCTTATGAATGTGCAATCAAAATATTATAGAGAAGCCAAGATATTACATGAAGCTTTGGGCATATCCTGCTTAGTTGTAAGCAGTTTCCTGGTAATGAAGGCATCATTCAAAAAGCAATCATTCTGGGGCTCTAAATGCTGATGCGCACAGTGCAGTAGGACCTAATAGGCCCAGCCATCACTCTGTGATCTCAAAGTACCTGGGTTTTTTTTGTCATCTTTCCCTCTCAGTTCTGGAAAAGGTATTGATAGACTAAATATGTTTGTATATTCTCTTGATATTACACACAAATAGCTGTTTATATATTTTGTATATAAAATATTAATAACCTGCCGTACCAAAAGAATTTAAGTAGGAATGCCTTCATATAACTGTAAACAAAGAATGCCTGCCAAGCCAAAAAAAATTAATGATTTTTGTTTTGATTTGTTTTGTTTCTCTTTAAGCCTAAGACACTTGAAAGTCAGAATAGGTTGTTGTCAAGGCTAATTCCAAAATTTAAATCTTGTGGGCATCAGTTTCTTATAAGTCTATCTTGTCCAGGCCGAGTGTCAGCTGTGTTATAGTGTGATCTGGGCCTCATATGTCATATATTGACCAAAACACTGAGAAGACAGCCGTGGGAGAGGGACCATGGGTCCATACTGCTGCTTGGAAGATTGTGGTGTTGGCCGTGACCCTGAAACTCTGGGCTGTGCAAGCAGCCAGTCCCATCATTTCTACTCTGTTAGAGGCTGTTCCCAGGGAAGAGTCTACCTGGGATGACTCAGTAGGAGGTGAACATACCAGTTTGCCCATACAGGATCTTAATAAGCATTGTTGGTTTGATTGGTTTTATGCGGTAGAATTCAAAGGAGAACTGGGCATGGTTTAGATCAGGAGCAGACAAACTTTTTCCATGAAGCACTAGATAGTAAATACATTCAGCACTGCAGACATCTCTCAGTACTACTCAACTCTGCCCTTGTAGCCTGAAAGCAGACAGATAATACATAAACAAATGTGTCATTGTGTTCCAGTAAAACTATATTTATAAAGATAGGTGAAAGGGGGGTGCATTTGGCCTTGGGCTATACTTTGCCAACTTGGTTTAAAATAAAAATACGTTCTGGGTCTTTCCTAGGGCAAACCCACATTTGGAACAAACTTAAATGGATTCAGACTCCTTAGAAGAACACCTATGCTAATCACACCTTGCTGTTTGGCTCTGCATTAACTGCCTCCAGGATCTTATGTCTCAGAAGGAGATTCAGGTTGGATATTTGCAGATGGTCTCCTAACATACAGCTAGCATACTGCATATGAAGGAAGAGTTTATTCTGACTCTTGACATATGTAACTCTGTGCCAATTATTTTAATTATAGGCAGATGATTGATGGTAATGGCTCACTCAAAATGTTTTTATTTTATTTATGCAGAAACAATGCAAAAAATCAAACCTCAACTTAGCAAGAAATATTTGAGGAATGGGTTTCTACCTTGCTAAATTTTTGGTGAACGTTGGGTTAGTCAGGCTCCCATTTATGTCTCCCATTTATGTTTATGTATAAACCTTACGGGTAAAAATGTTTCTCTCCTGACTTAATGAAATGGCTTCAGCTGGCCTTAAGAAGCAGCATACCGTGACCCTGTTGTACAATCTTTGCTTATTTGCATTTCATTCTGTCCTTGCTTCAACAGCTATTACATACCTTGCTGGGAGGAGAGGAGGAAAAGACTAGGAAGCATATGTAAATCAACCACCCTTAAGTGCAATAATTAAAAATGGTCGTTACATATATTTAATATAGTCACAAAATCTGTTCTTTCATTTCCAGTGTTAGGAAATGCTTGGGCTGGGTGGAATTGAGACTTCCTTACAAACATTCCAGTGCCTTCCAGGCTGCTGCTATTAGTAGGCAATTACTTGATGGTTTCTATTAATCAATCGGTCAGGTTTAACTTGAAGTCACTTGCTCTTGTGTTCTGTCTCATAACAGTCGGCATTTGGAATCAATTGCTGAAATGTCTTTTTCCCCCCCTCTGGCAGCAATGGAAATTAATTTGGTTTTCTTTCTGCTGTGCTTATCCTTGTGGAACATTATTTCTTCTTAGGTCTTGACATATTGGTTGCTTGATGCATGACTCGTGCTCAGTCTTCCTCCAGGAGGGCACCTGATCCCGATGAAGAAACGGCCCAGCAAGGTGGCCCAGCAGGTGGCCTAGCAGGTACTGAACCCAAATCCTGGTCTGCTGGCCCTTTGCCCTCCTTGTACTACTTCACCGTAGTTTGGGATGAGACTCTCAAAGGGGCTGTTGTGCAAATCATAATTTATATTAAGAGACTACATTCTGGTAGGAGGAGGAGAGACTCTGAGATTAGATAGACTTGATTTTGAATTTTGACTCCTCTTATTTGTAGGACTTGGGGCAAGTCATTGATCTTTCTTTACCTCAGTGACTTTTTCTGTAAGACAAGAAACTCTCATCTACCTCATAAATTATTGTCGGTATTAAGAGAACATCCACATGCCAGCATATTTACATCACCCAGCATGCCGGACACATAGTAGGTTAGTAGGTGCTTCATGATTTTTTACTTCGAAGGAAATGTCTTTCCTGCAACCTCAACCCAAAACGAATGGCTGTGACTTTCTGGAGGGATGTCCCCTTCAAGGTCCCCTGACTCAAGTAACCTGGGCTGAGTGAAAGGATAGCCTTCTCAGGGCCCTGTGTGCCTGTCACTAGCAGTGACCTAGGGCTTGTGACATCAAGTGTTCACATTTGGAAGCTTCCTGATACTGGGCGAGTTTCTGAGGCTTTTGTCTAATGGGCTTTGTGAAATGCTAATAAACACAAAAACTTCTCTATAAACATGTTCCGTGTGGACCCCTGAGGCTACAGTGCTGATGAGCTTATTTTTTTAACGAAAAATAAGATGAACTGCAGGCACCCAATTAGAGAGGCTCAGTCAGATCCCTAGACGCTTTCAAGCCTGGACACAAGAGGCTGCAGCAAGATAAACCATAAGGAGAGAAACACTGAACTTGCCTTTATTCTTAGCAGTGGCTTTGTTTGTCCTCCCTCCAGGCTCAGAGCTGTGCTGCTGGGACTGAACTCATTTCCCAACAAGCTGTTTTTGTTTCTCACTTGCAATGCTCTGTGAATGGACTTTCTGAAAGGCAGGCCTCTTAGTCCCCCTGAGTGCAAAGGGTTTGACAACACAATGAGTAGCAGTGGACGTTTTCCAACTCTCACCTAGATGTCTCTTCCTATTGCAAAAGACATCCCAAAACCTAGAATGGTTCTAATCCAGGAACCTCACCCTTGTCATGTTAACAAAGAGGATGAGACTGGGGAAGTGATGCTTTTTGGGCGCCTTTCTTGCCCACAGTTTACAGCTTAGAGACTACCACCATGTGTGCATATTTTCAGATCAGTTTGTGAGTGATGGAGTGGCAAGCAGATGGGGCAAAACATCAGAATAAAAGTTCTAAGAATAATGATTCTCCTACCTGCAAAGTCACCTTGAAGTGCAAATATATTCATGCATTTCTGAACCAAGGCTGTACCGGTTCAGTGCAGAGCCAAAGATTAAGATTAGGGTTGTATCTCTTTAATGACCTAACCAGATCTGTGACGCAGCAGCAGAGTCCTGATTACATGTGTGCCTTCCTTGTCTTCCTGTAATTGTGCTTCCCCTGCTGGCGTCTCCATCGTTGGTATATCCCACTTTATGCACATTTATGGTATGTTTTTCTTTTGTTCTTTACTTAAGCTTAGAGATAAAGATGTATTTGCTTACCTCTTCTAACTTGGGTCTCAAAGCAGAAGTCTCTGTTCTGTCAATTCATCTTCCTTTCCTAATAACCTATTCAGTACAGATACTTACTGTGCACTAATACCAGCCAAACCCTGTACCAAACACTAGGATTCAATGGTGAACAAATCAGACAGACTTTTTACAGCCATAACAAAATAGTCCGATGAATAGGCAGTCATAAACTGTGATCAGCCCCATAGATGAAAAGTACAGGCTATAACAAGAGCTGTAGCTGAGTAGCTAATAAAGGCTAATGAGTCAGAGAAGCTCTCCTCAGGAAGTATCCTTTGGACCAAGAACTGAATGATGAATAAGTGCAGCAAGATGATGATCATTCTGGGTTCCAGGAACAGCATGTGCAAAGGCCCTAAATCAAAAGGAATTTGGCATATTAGAGGAACTGAAAGCAAGAGAATGTGGCCAGTAGACAGAGAACTGGGAAAAAATAGGAGGCAACATTGGAGGGGTTTGTAGGGGGAGAGCACTGGCCACATCAAGTAGCACCAAAGACATTGTGTTTTTATCTTCGAATCAGTGAGATACCATTGAAAGGCTAATAAGAAGAGAGATGTAAACAGATTTGTTAGTAAAAGATTGTGACTGCAGTATATATACTCTATCAAAGAGGGGAGTGTAGTGGTTTTAAAGTATGTCTACAAATTCTTTGATACTCCTTGCTTCAGGAAATGGAGCCTAATTCTCCCTCCCTTGAGTGTGGATGGATTTAGTGACTCACTCCTAATGAATAGGACATGATGGAAGTGACAGTGCTTAACCTCTAAGGCCAGGTCAAGAAAGACAGTGTGGCCCCCACCACCCTCTTTAATCATTTGCTCTGGTGGAAGCCAGCTGCCATGTCATAAGGAACTAAAACCTTTAGCCAAGAAACTGGGAACTCCTGCCAACAGCCATGTGAGAAGCCAAAGTCTGCAGCAAATCCTTCAGCCTCACTCAAGCCTTCAGATGATTATAGCCCCTGCCAACATCCTGATAACTCAAAGCCAGACCAAGCCAGCTTAGTGACTCCCAGACTCCTGACCCTCAGAAACTGTGTGAGATAATATTTGTCATTTTAAGCAGCTAAAAGTTGGGGTAATTTGTTATGTAGCAATAGATACTTACTACTAAGGTAAAAACAGAAATAGTAGTAGAAAGTTCCTTCGGTAGTCCAGGCAAATGATGATTATGTCTTGACTTAAAGTCATTGCTACTCAAGGCCAACTTCACTTCCTTTTTGTAGGAATACACTGTGGAGACTAGAGAAGAATATATAGGAGCTGAAGCTTATGGCTCTTGAAATATCTCAGTCCAAGTCAGTACCACCATGATGGAGGTGCTACCTGTTATAATAGTTTTGAGCAATTTTCTCACCTAAATGCTTCAACAGTACAAGCCAGGGTCATTTATTGAAATGTTTGCATTTCTTTACAAATATATTCTACCAGTGATGTTTCTAAAAAGTGGTTGCTCTCTAATTCATATGTAAATGATTCTCTTGCATATGTTCCTTTATTTCAAGATGCCTAAGATTGTTTGGGGAAGTAGGCAAGATATAGAAGGGAGTAGGATTCCTCTATAAATTGCCAAGGTGAAGGGGCCAATTCCTCTATTTCTGGGTGGATAGGAAGCTATATGAATTAGGCAGTAGGAGAATTCTTCCCAGAAACTTAATCTAGTTGGGGTGTAGTGATCAGAAATGTTTTATGGAAGTCCTTAATTTCCAGTTGGCACATGGGGCATTACTGACTCAAAAAAATTATGATTATATATCCTAAAAGTGGTCTATTAAATCTAATTTTTGGTAAAATAAACTTGCCAAGGTCAACATTGTTTATATAAGACAATGACTCTGAATTTCTAAAAACTCAATTAGATGGAAGCTTTCGAGAATAATGATCACCTAGGCTTATTTAGGTGTGTTAGTCTTTATTTTATAATCATTCACTGTGATGATTGAAGTCAGTTGCCTGTTCTCAAGTAAGATTTTAATTAAATTGATAAATCCTCAGGAAGAAATCTATGAAATGCTTATAGTTACCCCTGAGGTTTTCCTCTGTCAAAAGCCTAGCAATAAATGGTAATTTTAAAATAACTCAAGTTTTTGTGTGTGTTGCTCTAAGACCATATAAGCAAATTTATGGTCTCAGCCATGATGAGTAGTTGGTATCGGACCTACCTTCCCACTTTATATAACTGTGAAACCTGTAGAAATCTTATAAAATCGCTGTTTGCAGTGATAGGACTGGAGCCAAAGCAGAGCCCCAATCCTTGATTCGCCTCACAAGGTGAGTCCCACATATATTAAGGCTTTTTTCCTAGAGACAATTTCCAGGTTGTGGTGCAGGGAAATGGAGCCCAAACAATGAGTGTTAGATGAAAGGCCAAGTACTTTGAAAACATATTCTATAAAAGTATATGCCTTTCAACTCATTTAACTCAATACCAAAA